GGGAGCTCAGCCTGCAGATGCCAGGCTGCAGCCTCTGGGCTCCACCAGGATTAACAGCCTTACGGTGGAGACCAGGTGGGGTGGAGGGTGCCACGATCTCTCTTATCCGCGATGCTGGAGCCGAGCAGAGCCATCGCCAGCACCGGCACCCGCTGAAACAGCCACCGAGCTCTCCCTTAAGCAAAGCGAGCTGTCTACGGCACCACAGCCTGCACCCGCTTGTTGGCCAACTGACTCTGCCCAGCATCGCACGCGAGAGGATTTGTGCAACCCTCCCGCTCTCCCTCGGGAGGTGCAGCCTCGGGGCCAAGCAGTGTGGTTTTTCGTCCCTTCAGCAGCAGCAGGGGAGGCGACGGTCCGGGCAGAGCGGCCCCAGAGCGGCCACAGCTCAGCAGATGACACAGCTCAGCAGATGAGCATCAGCATCGCTGCTGCCGCTGTCACGGCCTGAAGATACGAACAACGATACCAACATGGAGACCATCCTTTATTAGATGAGCTTGACCAGAGCTGGAGAAAACCAAGCACCCTTGAGGCATACCAGCCTCCAGGTCCTGAGGTCTCTCAAAACTTGAGAAAAAAAGTGCGACCAGCAGCTTGTCTTTTAGCTGCCCTGGAGCAGTCCCTCTCCCAGACACCCTCACCTCCCTGCCCACACCATGCCACGCTTGCAGGTTGGCAAAGCCAAAAAAAAAGCTGGGCTCTGTAGTCACCAGAGGGGATTTTCCAAGCCTGGGTTACCTGCCCTCCTGCTCTGGCTCTGCATTGCTGCACCCAGCCAAGCCCTGGCCAACTACAGCTTCAGACAACAATCAGCAACGTCCAAGTACCTCATCTAACACAAAGGCTGTGGCCACAGCTCAGCTCTGCTTGGACAGGCAACGTGCTTCTCTGCCCGGTGCAGCTCCTTGCTTCTGCTGGGGTATTTAGTGTTATTGTCACTTCTCCAGGAAGTATCTGTCCTTTCATTTGGTTTTTGTAAATATATCTTGCTGCGTACAGGGCTCGCCCAGGGGCAAGCTCTGCTTTTGCACAGGGGAGCAGCCGCGGGACCGGGCTGGCTGCAGGTCTGGAGCTGCTCCCAACCTCCACAGCAGAGCTCCTGTGCGGCTTTGGGCCAAAGCCTTTCCTACCTGCCCGCCTAAGCAGGCTTCTCCAGAAGATGGTGGAAATCATCTCAGGAGATGCCTCTGGAAATCGTCCTCTGTAGTTAAACACCTGCCTTTGAAGCTAGGACCTGACTTTTTGCCTCCTACTCCTCGGGGCCAAGAGCCCTGATGGCAGAACAAGGCTGATGAAAGCTCCCAGCCTCGCAAGGGTGCTCTGCAGTTAAATGCACCGAGACACGAGAGTGCTGAGTGTTCAGAAAGGGCTGGTGATGCACCATGCCCACTCCAACCAGGAGGAAGGCATGGCACCGTGCTCTTCATCCCCAGGCAATCCCTTGCGGCAGTGCCTCCTCCCAGCACCACCCTCTGCCCTGCACATCCCCGTGAGGTGGGATCCCGGCTGAAGACCCCACTGCAACACCGCTGGGACTTTTCCAGAGCAAAACTGGAAGCGCTGCTTCGCTGTCAAACGCTCGATCAGTCTCTTGGAGTGCGGGGACTAGAGGTGAACGTGCGGAGCAGCGATGACCACGGGAAGGTCACCAGTGCGGGGGACAGCCCCACACGGAGGACTAGGGGGATGCTCCATGGCATCGCCCAGAGGAACGGCACACAGGGGAAGCACAGTGGCAGAAGGGACACAGCGGGACCACAGACATTTTTTTTTAGGTGATTGCTGTGGGCCAAAGTCCTGCTGGGCATCTTGGCCACGGAATCGCTCAGACTGAGTCTTTTTATTTATTTCCGAGACCGCCCGAGTGGGGAGAGAAGGTCCCCCTGGAAGGAGGATCTGTGCTGTCCCAGCTCTTACCTTTCACCGCCAGCACGATGGCTCCGAGGACCATGATGAGCGTCTGCAGCGCGTCGGTGTAGATGACGGCCGCCAGCCCCCCTGCACGAGAGCAAGGCACAGCGTCAGGAGCGGCTTCGGGCTCGGCTCGGTCACAAAGTCCCAATAAAGCTGCCCGCGCTCGCGGGGACGTGCCTGTCACCAGCCTCGTCCTGCCGACCCTGCGGCGATGGGGGGCTGCAGCGGGAGGAACAGCTCCTGGGTGGGTCTGGTGTCGAGGGGCGACAGCACCTCCGCAGCCGGGGGGGGGGGAGCAGCCGATAGGCACCGGGGGC